TAGGATTGTGTTATACAGAATTTCAAAATGTATCTAGATTCCTTCTCCTATTTAAATCAGGCATAATGCACACTTGAACAGCCATATAGTTAGAAATTACTCTCTTAGACAAAGATTGATGTGTATCCAAAATAACATATACTTAGTTTTCTTCTTTGCTCTCTAAAGTCTAGGATCATGCCCATCACCTAGCAATAGCCTGTGACGTCACCCAGGAAATGGGTAAAGCTTTCCTTCTTGTGCCTACAAGCTAACCAGGGCACTTAGAAGACTTGTGATCATGTCTGGAATAACTGTCTCAGTCCCTCGCTGATTTTCATAGTCAATTCCATTTAGACATCAAATACTAATTTTGTTTGAATCAAACCAAGAGGGATAAAAGAGAAGCTTCACAGTGAAGTGAGTTCACTGAGTGGTCTCTGTACGGAGCTAGGGAAAGAGTGACCAGCTATCGAGGTTACTACTATACCTGAATAAGGTGATATTAGATTACCTTAAAAAGGTTTAACAGAACCTTTGAACCTCAAATACAATATATCTTGAGGGGGGAGGGGGTGGCTTTCTGCCTATACTCTACAAAGACAGTGTTTTTCCAGCACGAATGCACTGCCGCTGAAATCCTGCTTTGCTAAACCATAGCGAAGACACCATGAGGGACCTCAGAAATGGGTGTGGGGTGTGCTGAGTGGGAAAGACCACTCTTAATAAAACACCCACATACCTGCTTTGTGAGTGGTTAATCTTTCCTCCAAAAAACTGACTAGGACTGGGAGTAGAGAAAAGGAAAAACTGTAAGTGTTGGCTTGAAAATATATATCTGTGGCTTTCTGTTTCCTGGTGTGCTGTGCGGCCTAATGACATTGAAGCAATCTGAAATGTACCAGCTTGATCAAGGATTGCTGAAAAGATCAATCAGCTCTCACTAGAAAGCACAGCTAAAAGTAACAGGAGGCGTCAAAGAAAGCCATGTTTTTAACGGACACGAAATAGCAACCAAGGCCCTAAAACAGAAAAGAGAACTGAGTGAACTATCAAATTTTACAAAGGTCCAGAAATATAATTACTCAAGAGCACATGACTGCAAACTCTAGGAGCAATAATGTATTTTTCCCCCCCTACAAAATGAGTTATTGAAAGGGGTCATGTGGTTCTTAGGAGGCAGAAAGACGCACTTTCCCAAGGAAAGTTCACCATTAAATATATCACTTAAGACTGGATCATCTTCAGGCTATTTTTAATCTTATCATTTTGCTGCCAAAATTGGCCATTAGCCGCTGATACTCAGCCTCTGGAAAACTGATGCTTTTTCATGTATTTTGTACACAGGCAGAGAACAGCATTGCTTTCCAGTTAATCAAATGTTTTTGTAGACATGGAATAGATACAGAAAAGAGAAACTGCTTGTTGACCAACTAATAAGAAGGAAGCTACCTCTACTGGATGTGGAGAAGTAAGTTTCTGTTTTCCTAAACCACAAAGACCAAAAGGCATTTTTTAAAAAAAGAAGAAAAGAAAAAGCAAGGTGCGCCACCATCTCAGCAACAGAATGAAACCAGTCTCCTGTTAAGCCATCTCATTCTTTCAGTGGTCCACAGCCCACTCTCTGCTAAGACATGGATCTAAATATCACAGTTCTCCGTTTGGAGGGTGCTATGAATTTTCATTCACCATCAACTTTTGTATCTCAACCCTTTGCTTGCAAGAGCCCCTAAACCCATCTACAGAATTTAAACTGTGTTACAAGGGGATACAATAATAACTAATGCAGCTATTAAAAGAGCTAGCTCTCCTGCCTTTCATTGGAGCAGAAAAGCTATCTTACTTTCATGGGCGATGCCAATACAAACTGCATAGCTACCATGAAAAACGTCTTGGAGAAGACCAAGCTTACCATAATTTATCTCCTATCTCTTTCATTTCAACCTATTTCTCCCAAGGGTTAGATCAGCCTAGTGGACATCTGGGAAACACTCAGTATTCTAGGTAATACTATACACCTGTGAAGCCACTGGACCGGGACACTGGAGGATACAACCAAGGCTGTCAATCTTTGCAAGAGGTGTCCCCAGGAATGGTAGATGATGACAGCCAGCATTTCTAACGTCACTGTGTGCACAAGCACCTGTAGATCACGTGAACCCCATATTCTGACTCCGCAGCTCTGGGGTGGGACCTGAGCTGCTGAATCTCTGCAAAGCCCATGCTGCTGGTCTGTGAACCACACTATGACCAGCAGGGTCTTAGACATTCCCTAGAACTGCTGCTGTCACTCTGCTCCCTCTGTCCTGCCCCTCTCTGGATGCAACACAATGCCTTATTCAGACTTGGGAATAAAGCAATGACCCACTCTGCACCCAACTTCTTCTTTAGTCTTTAATTTGAGGATTCTAGGACCATCTCTCAACCAACTCTCATTCCAAGACCCTGCTTCCTCCAAGTTATGGAACATGGAATGAGAACAGTTTTCTCGGCCTCAAGAGGTTCTGACTTCGAATCAGCAGCAGCAGCAACAAAAAGCAGTGACTTTGAGTCTGAAGCCCCCATTAGTATATATTCAGTAGACAAGCTGATCCACTGAGTCCTGGATCCAGTGCAAGTCACAGTCGAATGTCAAAAGAATGTGCCAGCTCTCTTCTGAAACTTTATTATCGTTATTAAGAGTACTTTTCTCTGTAAAAGCAACATGTTATTAGAGACGGAACCCTGACAGATGCAAATGTGGAGGAAAATCTGTCTGTAGGCCAGATGCCTAAAACAAAAATTTAGATTAAGAACGCACATTTGAAAGGATGGGTAAATTATCTGCACCACTTTTATTCCAATGTGTCCACTTATGGTTGCATTTCCTGACATATACTTTTTGCCAAATTCCTTTGTTTTCCTATATCCACCTATATGTTATTCTGAAAACTACACATTTTACCATCAGCCATCTGTGCTTCTCTCTGATTTATTCTTACTATAAGAGGTTTTGTCAAAAAAAAGTTATCATTTTCTATGGTATGTCGTTGTGGTTTGGCATCATAAAATATAGCCTCTACATTTATTAACCTCAGATACCTGTTGACCACAAAGATGGGCTCTACAACAAAAACTCTATTCTAACTGGAGGAAAAGTGAGCCTTCACTTAAAAAGAGCATGAGATTACGACAACTCAACAACAAAGATCAAGGTTCTATCTTAATTTCAATCATAACCATATGTCTCTGTTTCCCATCTTTTTATTAAATTACTCGATAGATGACAGTTACCACCTTGGCTTTCTTTCGACTAGAAAGAACATTTTTAGATATTTTATTGTTCATAAAAAATATGAATTAGAAAAGCTGTTAAGTCAGTTTATCTTCAGCCTTAAAATGATCCTTTTGGATCTGAGAGTCCCTAGCTCCTTGATTATGGTGGTTAAAAATCAAACCACCTACTTAATCAAACAGTTAACAAAAATATTATTTCCACCCTTTGGTGAATTCTTCCAGAATTACTGAAGATCTAATAATATAGAATCTAAAAAAACCCAACAATTTACAAAGAGCATTTAGGCTGTAGAAATTTAAATGCAGGGATCATTTTAGTCGATTTTACTTTTAAACAATAAAAAGTGTCATCAGTATTTTGTCAACTTTGGCCAAGTAGGATCAGATGTTCATGTCAGCCATAGACTTTTCTTGGCCTTTTCTCTTTTTGGCCCCTTAATAGCACACTATGCAAACTGTAGTAAAATACGTAACATGCTTCTTGAAATCAGATCCACTGGTAATCATTTCTAGGATTTTTGCTCCTGTTTGGTCCTATAAAACAATAACATTAGTAATTCTCCCCAGGGACTATAAAAGGAAGCACTGTATTGATTCCTTTTTCAAAGGTAATTCTTCAGATTAAAACAAAAAGTCCGAAAAAAAAAATCAAACAAGAATTATTCCTCCTTTTTGCTTTTTCATAAATTAGTAATTTTAGATGGAAGGTGTAGCTCTCAATTGCAATTCTTCTCCTTCGCCACCCCCCCCCCAAAAAAAATAAAAAATTACACACACAAAAAGAACTTTATGGTACATGAGAGCGGCTCTAACACTGTACCAGAAAAAAACAATCATCTCACACATGTTCTTCAAAACTACAGGCATCGATCACTTGGACTAAAGTCAGAGCATGAGAGAATTCAGAATCAATTCTATGCTTCATGCAAACACTGTAGACGCACGTTTGCTCAGTAGAGGAACCAAGCGATGTGGATTCTAGGTGGTGGGAACTAAAAGATACTCAAATCCCAGCAAACGTTAAAACTGCACACCAGGTATAGAAGTAGAACACAGAGTTCGAAGCCAATGCAAATTCTGTCACTGATGAGACAAAGTAAAGCATCCACAGCTGAACGTTTTTTCAAGTCATTCGGTCACGCCCACTGGCCTTTTGGAAGTTCAGCTTACCTCTTCAGAAACACAGCTAAGCTTCCCAGGGATAGGGGCTGCATTGGTTTTCCTCTTTGGGTAGATTTTACCCAATGAATCAGATAAGGCTTGCCCTTTGGTCCTCTGGTGCAGTCTGTTCTCCTAATTGGGTGGTTCTCAAATTTTAGTACAAAGAGGAAACCCCCAGGGGAGTCTGTATAGGATGCAGTTGCCACAACCCAATCTGGGGTCTCCCATCTCAACCAGCTACGCAGGCCAGGTAATTGTGGTGCTGGGTATCCTTGGACCCCCAGTTTGAGGAACCCTGGAGGAATTCCATTTATCCCAAGATCTTACTGGATAGGAAATGCTGAATCTTTGAACCACAACAGCTGGCCAGTAAGGGAGAAACACTTTGGGTAGGAAGGAACGATCACAGTAGGCTTGGCACCGCAAGTTTTGTACAGGGGAAGAGGGTGGGAAGCAACAAACGTGGTGTTATTCACTGGCTCGTCAGCCAGTCCTTGGCCCAGGAGCCCACCCACACTCCAACCACCATGTCTCAGACCTGAGACTTCCATCCCAGACACACATTCAACCAGACATGCACCTACCCAGCCTCCGTTATCCTGGATCCAGGTGTGCAGGTGCCGGTTCAGGTACTCTGTCATCCACAGGGCGATGTTGTCCACCAGGGGCGACATCTCCCGGTTGACGCTCTCCACACACATGACTCCACCGAACTCAAAGAAGGCCACAATCCTTCCCCAGTTCACTCCATCCCTGAAGAGCTCCTCCACCACCGTGGCAAAGCGTCCCCTCGCGGTGAAGGGCGTCAGGTGCAGCTGGCTGGACATCTCTGCGAAATCGCGGCGGTAGCGACGGGAGAAGTCATCGCCCGCCTGTCGCAGGGTCAGGTGGACCACAGGTGGCACGGGGCTGAGCGCTGGCCCCCCGGCGGCCGCGGGGGCGGCTGGAGGCGGCGGCGAGGTCCTGGCGGGCGCTGGGGGGCGCCCGGGCTGGGAGGAGAAGATGCCCGACGCCGGGGTGGCCCCTGGGGGCGCGGCGCCCGCGTCTCCGGCATCCCATTCGTAGCCCCTCTGAGACAGCTTATAGTGGATGTACTTCATCACTATCTCCCGGTTATCATACCCTGTTCTCCCAGCGTGCGCCATCCTTCCCCCGAGGAAAAGCAGAGAAAAGCAGCCGGGTACCAGTAGCACCTCTCGCTCCCGCCCCCGCCCCACGTCCCCGAAAAAAAGAAGAATAGTTATAATCCAGCTATTTTATTGGATGTGCTGTGCATTCTTGGATGAGGGGGTGTCTTCAGTCACGCGGAACATTTGATTCTGGTGTTTCCCTCTTGGCATGAGGTGCAGGAAATTTTTATTTCAATTCCTTTCGGATCTTTATTTCATGAGGCACATTATTATTAATTATTGTCAATATCAGTCTACTTCCTCCGTGATCCTGAAAGGTTAAAAAAAAAAAAATCCGAAACACTGATAAGTCAAAATCAGGTGCATTTTTCTTACACTGGATAAAAGCAGGGCTATACACACTACAACCACACGGCTAAAAAGAATGTTAATTAAACTGCAAATTAAACTTAGTCGAATACACTTAAAGTTAAAATCTCAAATGTTTCTATTAAAAGTTACATTAAACCAATTTCCTGCGCCAAGAACTTACTTGTATTTTTTAAGGACGGCATGATCTTCTGTCAAGTTTCCTTTTTTGTGAAGACAAAACAAATGCGTAAGGCAAAGACCCCATCGATCTTCAGAACTCCCGGCGATAGCTGCTATGAAACTTGCAAATGAACCTGGAGGTGGGGGAGTGGTGTAAATGAGCAGAATTGGCAGATGGATTCTCAGACTTCTCCTTCACAGAAATGTCAGTCCGTAAGAATCCCAACTGGAGATCTCAAGAGCACGAGAGGGGGGGCGGGGGTGGGGGAAGGCAGCGGCGGCGGCAGATGAATTACAATTTTCAGTCCAGTATTTGCATAAGTCCTGTGATTTCCCCCCTCTCGGCAATATACACGCGCGCACACATGCGCGGGCACAGACATGGACCCCTGTCCGCGGGACCGCTTCAAGCCTCCCCCGGGGAGAGACAGGGATCAGGGGCCGGTGGACGCGCCGGGTACACCCAGGCGCAGGAATCCGCTTCTGATTAAACTCCGAACGGCAAATGCATTTTCCGAAAAGCTGCTGGATAAATGAAGGCAGGACGCGCCCGGCCCGCCGGTGCAGAGCCGAGAAGCCCGCGCTGTGTGTGGTGCGGCGAGGGGTGGGGAGAAGGAGATGGTGGGGGAGGGTTTTATTTTTTCCCTCTTTTCCTAAAAAGGATGACTGCTAAGAAGTTCTCCCCCCCTGGACCCCCTCTTCCGCTGCACCCACCGGCGCACCCCGCCTCCGGGCTGCGCACCCTTTCTCCTCCTCCTGTTCCTGCGCGGCGGCGCTGGCGGCGGCCGTCTCCCCGCGCTCCTGCCGCGCGCCCGCTCGGGGTGATGACGGCCGCGCCGGCGGGGAGGGCCCGGCGCCCGGCACCTTCGCTGGCAGAGGCGGCGGCGGCGGATCGGCGGGGAAACCGAGAGCGGCGGGCGGGAGGGCGGGCCGGCGGCGCGGGCGAGAGGGGGAGGGGGCGGGGAAGACGGGGGCGGGCGTGGGGGGGGGGGGGCTGGCCTCTTACTTCATTCTCCGCTCGAACCGACTGGTTTCCTGTAGTACGTCACGGTTCATTCAAAAAAAGAAGAAAGAAAGAGCCCTCCTCTGAGCGGCCCCGCCGCCCCCTCCGCCCCGCTCCCTTTCCAGGGTTAAAGGAACCGCGGTCGGGCCGGGAGCGGCGCGCTCCTCCGGGGACACACGGCGCGCTGGGCCACTGCCGGGGAGGGCGCGCCTGAGACGGCCCCCGCCCGCCCTCCGGGCCCGCTCCTCCCGCTCCGCCCGGCCGGTGGGTGGCGCGGGCGGCGCAGGCCTCCCGCGCGGCCACGGCGCGGTGGGTGTGCGAGGGCCTCCTCCGGCCTGCGGCGCGCTCGGGGCCCGCGAGGGGCCGGGGCGCCCGGGGAATTGCACGCGGGCCGGCGGCTGGGTGGGTGGGTGCGCCAAGAAAACCGTGCTGGGAAGGCGCGGGGGGAACCGCTGCGACCCTCCCCAGCCGTGTAGCGAGCTGTGTACACCCATCTTGTTACCAGCGCTGGTGGCCGATCTGACCTCCAGCACAGGGACCTCAGCGCTGCCCTCCGGTAAAGAGAGGCGTCGCTGCACTTTCATTAGAGTCTTGTTTATTTTCAAGTTGCTTCCTAGGTATACACGCAGAGCACACTCTGGAGACACCATCCATGACCAAGGCCAGACAGTTCTCAGCAGACTGGCGGAGGGGCCAGTGGAGGACATCAGGGGTTTAGAAATGGTTCCCCTCTGCTCCGGACAAATTCAGCCCAGGGTTAGGGCTGGGCTCTGAGAACGTCTAGTGACTTTCAGGCCTACAGTCTCAATCAACACCAGGTTGGGTGGGTTTCTGAAGGCCTCCACGGTCGCCTAGCAGCCAATCCCAGATGGCCACACCTTAAGTTAGCTCCACATGCACATATATGAACACACAAGCACACACATTTTTAAATTCATCAGCATGAATAGCCCCTTGGAGAAAAGCCCAAGACGGCCATCACGTTGCACGTGCTTAACTATTTTTATCTCAAAGAGACTGACAAATTAAGCTCCGAAGGGGGGGAAAACGTTTACTAAAAGCACAGCAGCTTACTTATTAGGGCTCAAGTACACGTATGTAGGGACACTGGATTAATGTGGTCATAGAAACATGACAAATAAGCGCTGCACTTTGTACGAATTTGTTCAGACACTATCTTTATTTTGTCTTCTTCCTGGTCTAAAATCAAAGCATTTATTCCTAAGCAAAATACAAGCACAGCAAATTATGTTCCTTTCTTTATCATTCCCAATCAGCCAACATGCCGGAAAATGGGTGCCTGCTCCAAATTTCATGTCCAGGCAAGAGGGAAGGAAGATGCTCTGCTGTCTTCTGATGGCAATGAGATGAACACTGGGTATAGGTGGACCGGAGACATACATTCCCACAGAACTAGTAGAAACCCACCTAATGCCACAGCATTTTGGTTTGGGGATCTTCTCAGAACCTTGTTGTAAAGCTCCAGAATTACTTAAGAGGAATTGAAAGCCTTGATGCTTCTGAGACCCAGCATGTGAGTTGAGGAAATGAGAAGACGGAGCTGGAAAAGAGATTGTACTTCTGCAAAGGGGCAGCCAGAACGAAACATAACCCCATTCCCAGAGAAAGAAAAGTTTCCTTATTCTTCCCTCCTTTGCTGCATAGAGCCTCACTACAGATGTCCCCAACCTGATTCCTTGGGTGGCATACTGACCAGAACCAAGCATTCTCAGGACGGGTTTGCATGACAGTCCTCAACTGAGGGTTATATTCCCTGCGACTTTGAATGGAGAGTGAAACCCTTCCTCCATTTGGATGCCAAGTGTTTTAGACTCCACTTTAAAGAGTGAGGTCAAGTATTCCTCAGAAATGTGTGCATTAACTCTTTGCCTTTGGGCATCGATGAGGTGGCAGAGGGACCATTGGCCTGACTCAGGAGTCCTGGGTTTGATTCGGAGATCTGTGATGGAGACCTTCCAAAACCTACGGACTTTTCATTTCCCAAGATGTCTTCCACTTTTAAGAGCCAATGGATGAGCCTTTTGCCAGCTTTGCCTGACTGGGTTCTAGAAGGACGGTAGCACCAGGAAGAGAAAAGAACAAGACACAGGGAGAGGAGGCTGTATCCAGAGTCTGAAAGGCCTGTGTTTTCCTTCTTTATTCTCGTCTGCCAAACAAAAAGCTTTTTATTGCCATCTTCGCCACCTACTGGTTGATGTTTAACAATATCATTCAGAAAGTTTCTTCATCCATCACCAATGTAAATATTTCCAAGGTTTATGAGATTCAAAAAGAACTAGTCTAATTTGGAAATTCTATACTAATATTTAATATAGGTATGCATAAAATCTTCCCAACTATTAAACTTTTTACTTAAAATGAGGATAGAAAGACAGCATTAGCTGAGAGGAAATTTACAACTAATAGGTAAGATGAAAGAGCTAAAATATAAAGCATAACCCCCAAACCATTCAGGCAAATGGAAATAGAAATAAATCCATACACAAAACAAACTGACTGGAGAGAGTAAAATCAAGTAGTCCACATAGTCTTCACAAAGGAAAAAATAAACTGCTTAAAAAATAACATTTCACAGACCTAGATAAACAATCCAAAACACTAATTTCTAATTTTGAGTATCTCCTAAATTATTGTTTCCAGGTTTATTGAAATATAGTTGGCATAGTATTTTATACATTATAAATTCTTATGCTAAATAGTGCAACACTTTCAGATAGTTTGCATGCTTTGCTGGCAAAAAATATGTAATAATGTTACTAATTAATTACTAATATAAATACTAACAGTAATATTCTTCCCAATTCACCTATGCTCCCATGTCTTCTGCTGTAAGAGTGATCATGTCTGAGTTGTCTGCTCCGTGCTCTCAAACCATCCTTGTCATCATCAGGAAACCCTTGCCAAATCTAAACCAATGAGCTCTGGTTTAACCTAGAAACCCACCTGGCTAATTTATAATGGGTCCTAAACCTCAAAATATGTTTACAATAATTAAGCAACAACCTTTGAAACTAGGCAACGAACAGCAGATCAATCATCCTTTGTGCAAGTTTCATAGCAGGCAAATGTTGCTTACTTTTGGTTTACAAAGGAAAGCACCGGAAATTCACTCGTCGTAATTTTTTCCTTTCAACTTAATGACTGCTTTTAAAGTGAAATAAAAGGGGAGAAACGTATACTTTTCAAATGCCTACTGCTCTCATCGGATTGAAACTGCACTAACAGAACCAAACAACATGAAACACCATGGAAGTGAGGGGGTTAACAAATAATTTACATTCTTAATGTGCAAAAAACAAATGTTATTCTCTTTGCTAGTAGGCACAGAGCACAGTATCTCCCAGATATTAATTCCTGATGAACAAGGGTACTTAAATTGTGTTTGATTCCTAAGGCTGGCATGACAAAATACCACAAACTGGGGGCTTAAAACAGAAATATATTCTCCCACAGCTCTGGAGGCCTAGAATCCAAAATCAAGGTGTGGGAAGGGCCATGTTGCCTCCTAAGCTCCAGGGGAAAGGCCTTCCTTGCCTCTTCCAGCTTCTGGTGGTGGCTGGCAGACCTTGGCTTGTGGCTGCATCACTTGTCTCTGCCTCTGTGGCCACAGGGCATTCTGCCTGTGTGTCTCTTTTCCCCTATTGTAAGCTCACCAGTCATTGTGGATTAGGACCCTAATAAACTCATCTTAACCTGGTTATTTCTGTAAAGACCCTATTTCCAAATAAGGCCATATCTGCAGGTACTGGGGGTTAGGACATCAACATGTTTTGAGGGCACACCACTGAACCCACAATATGCATCCAATATGATACCTCTGAAGGCCCAAGGACTCAGCATACTTTGAATTTCAAGAGGGAACCATGATCTTTCTAAAGCTGAAACCTGGACATTTCATGTTTCTGCTTAAAGTTGTTCAGAGACTAAAATCTCAGCTCCTTTGCATAATGTGGCCCAAGCCCCCCCACCTGGGCACCCTCCCACTTTTCTTTCTTCTTGCAGCTATATTACCTTTGTGTACTTTCTGGAATATGCCAAGATCTCTCACGTCTTTTGCCTCTGCACCTCTTCTTGTCTCTCTGAAATACACCTAACCTCATGGCAAATTCATACTCATTCCTCAAGTTTCATCTCCCCTGGAAGATCATCCCTGACTTTTTTGGGGAGCCTGATTTCACTTGTACCACTAGAAGAGATTTTGTACAGAGGATGGGAACTTAGAAGTCAGAAAAAAGGGATTTGAATCCTCACTCTATCTCTTAATAGGTGTGACCTTAAGCGAGTTCCTGTGCCCTCATTTATAACACAGGGATATAAATGGTACTGCAGTAGCCCCATGCACCGCATCCTCAGTTTCACTTACACACAGTCAAACGAGGCCAAAAATATTAAATGGAAAATTCCAGAAGTAAGCTATTCCTAAGTTTTAAATTGTGCACTGTTCTGAGTATCATCATGAACTCTCTCGCCATCCCGCTATGTTCCACCTGGGAGGTGGACGCTCCCCACCCATTAGTCACTTAGTAGCCATCTTTTTTAAAATATATATATATATATTATTGATTTTTTACAGAGAGGAAGGGAGAGGGATAGAGGGTTAGAAACATCGATGAGAGAGAAACATTGATCAGCTGCCTCCTGCACAGCCCCTACTGGGGATGTGCCCACAACCAAGGTACATGCCCTTGACCGGAATCGAACCTGGGACCCTTCAGTCCGCAGGCTGATGCTCTATCCACTGAGCCAAACCGGTCAGAGCAGTAGCCGTCTTATCAGATCAGCAGTCCTGATGTTGCAGTGCTTGTGGTCGTCACCCTAATTTTATTCAGTAATGCCACACTCACATAACTTTTATAGCAGCAGATTATTATAATTGTTCTATTATATTACTAGTTATTGTTTTTAATTTCTTACTGTGCCTAATCTATAACTTCAACTCAGTCATATGGTATAGGAAAACCATAGTATCTATAGGATGCGGTACTATCTGAGGTCTCAGACATCTCCTTGGGTGTCTTAGAATATATCCCCCTGGAAGGAGGGACTAAGTCAGGTGTGGGCAACCCCTGGCACACGTGCCAAACATGGCACGCCAGTAATTTTTGCTGGCATGCAAAACCCTCTCTTATAATCTTCCATTTACAATTGTGAATCTTTGTTCTCAGTGATGAATTTTGTTACGTCTCGTAATAGGAGTAGCCTGACGGATGAAAGTAGTAGCTCGT